TACTTATTAAGTTCTTTCCCACAGTTTGGGACTGGGCTAGACCTAGGAGTAGTTACACTGAATAAACAATAAAAGAATAATAATTTTCAGTCTTAAGTAATCAACATAACATTCTTCTCTCTGTTACGTGTATCTTCAACTCCTTAGCACACTAGCTGCCTGGCATCGCTATTACAGAAAATATTTCTTGAGAAAACCTTGACTGTATATGTTTGAGAATACAACAGTTTTTATTTTCCTTTAAATATAATATAATATTCTGGTATAGTATATTGAGGTTGAAAGAATAGTAGGAATTAGAAGCTATGAGAATTTCTCAAATATGCTGTGAGCATAGCCTCTAATATTTGCAATAAAACCCATTATTTTAACTATTTAGCAATTGCAATATTGTAAAACACCCCCATTCTTTTAAATTCTTAGGTTGTAAAAATTAAGAGCCATGTCTATGTAGTATTTGTCATATAGCATCGAGTACAATACCACACACAATTAAGTGCTCAATAGTGCTTTTTGATGAGCAGGATAATAATGACTTTCTAAACAAGATCTATCAATCTCAAGGGAATAGAGAAAGTGATGGGTGTTTGAATGTTAATATCACAGAGATTTCTGAGCTATGAGAGATACCTATACACTGTTCACATTCAGGCCTTTAAAAACATTATTTATTTTAGTTTGAATTCATTTTATCTATCCCTCATTTGTTTTTCCTTTATAGAAATGCATACCTTTGGTCCAAGAAAAAGGGAAATGCATTTTTATCTCAATATATTATTAACCTTTCATCCTGTATGTTAAAATTTTAGTCTCTCTTTTATCATTTTGTTAGAATTATTCAGATAAACTCAGCTTGCCTTTTGTTAGACTCTTACACAATAAGATTATATTATTACTTTAATATTTTCACGAACTAATACGCAACAGCCAAACCCAATTATCCAAAAGAAGGTATACTAAGAATTTAAAACTTATGACACAATTTAATTGAGTTTGTGCATATTAGAACATGAAACATTAAAAGTATTCATTTTTGTTTAATTTTAGTAGGACTCCCTCCCTGCCCCCACATTTGTTTCCTTAGTCCTATGCACAAGCATCCATATAGCAATCTGAAGATGCAGTATACAGGTCAAGCTCACAGAATCTGGAGCCAAAACCACAAGGTGTGTGATTGCAAGCAAATTATTTAGTATTTCTGTGCCTCAGTTTCCTCAGCTGTGTAAGATAAGGCTACTGACAATACTTACTTCACAGAATTAGGAAGATTTAATGTTAAAATAATATTATCTACCACATGGAACTCTGACAATTGAAGAGTATCTCACAGTTATTAAGCCAGTAATAAATGCTAGCTATTACCATCACTTCATCATCATCACAACCACTATTATCAAGAGTCTTGGACTTCCTGCGAATAAAGACATGTGTTTTATTTTTTTCTACCTTTTGTGTTGAGCAGAGTATCTGTCAAATAGTATAAATTCAGGTTTACTATTTATAAATTGTGTGTGTCTCTACCAACGGTGTTTAGATGGATGGAATTTTGGCTGGTGGCCCTATCCCTGTGCCTTGGTTCTCAGTAGCAGTAGAGATGATGTGAATTCACCTACGTTCACTGTGGCACTGTTTACAATAGCAAAGACCTGGAACCAACCCAAATGTCCATCAATGATAGACTGGACAAAGAAAATGTGCCACATATACACCATGGAGTACTATGCAGCAATAAAAAAGGATGAGTTCATGTTCTTTGTAGGGACATGAATGAATCTGGAAACCATCATTCTCAGCAAACTGACACAGGAACAGAAATACCGAATGTTCTCACTCATAGGTGGGTGTTGAACAACGAGAACACATGAACACAGGAAGGGGAACAGCACATAGTGGGGTCTGTTGGGGGGCACTAAGGGAGGGGCAGCAGTGGGTGGGAGGTTCAAGAGGCATAACATGGGAGAAATGCCAGATATAAGTGATGGGGGGGATGGAGGCAGCAAATCACCTTGCCATGTATGTACCTATGCAACAATTCTGCATGATCTGCACACATACCCCAGAACCTAAAATACAATTAAAAAAAAAAAAAGAAAAACAGAAAGATGATGTGAATTGCCTTTGGATCTACAAATATTGCCTACTCAAAGACTCTTGGAATATGCCCTCTTAGCAAGTTGAGTTTTTCCATTCCACTTGCTTTTCCCACAGACTCTGAGTATCTGTTTAATTGATAATGATTTCATGTCTATTGTCTCCAGGTGCAATGGCTTCCCTAAGAGGAGAGATGCCATCTCATCACAAAATAGAATACCTCCTTCTTCACTGCCCTGGGCTGCCCTGAGCCTGCCCCAAGTGCCTCAAGTCTACGACAGAAAACTCTTCCATGTCAAAATGCTCAAAAGCTATAAAACCTTCACATTTCCCTGATAAGCATGAATATAGATAACTCCTTAATGTCTTGAATATGCTATATGGATAAGTCCCTAAGAAAACAACTCTTGGTACCTATTTTCCAAATATGCCAGTTCTGAATCAGTAAAATAAACCAGGGAACTACCCATGAAGCAAGCATTTTAATTTTATAATCCACAGTATACAACATGTCCAAAACTTAAAGACAAAACTCTTAAAGCTTACAACCCACTAATATTAAATTATATTTAAATTTAGGATACCACCAAAACTTTCTCTCTTTCATGTCTGAATTCAAGAATGATACTTTATTCTTTTTTTTTCCCATTTATTTTATTGCATTTTAGGTTTTGGGGTACATGTGAAGAACATGCAAGATTGTTGCATAGGTACACACGTGGCAGTGTGATTTGCTGTCTCCTCCCCATCACCTACATCTGGCATCTCTCCCCTTGCTATCTCTCCCCAGCCCCCCACCCCCCACCATCCCTCCCCTATTTCCTCCCAACTGACCCCAGTGTGTTGTGCTCCCCTCCCTGTGTCCGTGTGTTCTCATTGTTCAACACCCGCCTACGAGTGAGAACATGCGGTGTTTGATCTTCTGCTCTAAACCATGAACTATTAACAGTTTTCATAGACTATACAAAACTGTTAACTTAGGTAATTCTTTGAAATTCCAGACATGAATTCTTAAAAGAATGCATAACTTGCAAACTTAACTTAAAAAAAGATCCTCCTAGTTTTAAGGACTGAGAGATTCATTAGTTGACTAAGCTTGTCTACTCAGTAGAAAAGAGAAATCATAGGGGAAAAAGTTGCAGTAATGCTGGATTCAAGGATAAGAAAATGGCCATCCTAACCTCCCGCCACCACCAAAATCACTGCAGCAAGTTGTAAATGGTGTATGAAACGACAAATCCCTGTCCAGTGCACAGAAGAATATAAATACTGCTCTGTAATCACTGCAGTGGTATGCACTTTGCTAAAATTTTCAGCTTAGGTGAACCAAGAAAAACCTCACCTCATCTATAAATCCAAAAAAGAAACGAACCAAAATGAAATTATATTATTTGACTGTGTATGCAAAACCTCCTCTTTTCTTCTTTTCCCCTAGCCATAAAAACATATGTATTGAATATCAGAATACTTAAGTGTTCTGATATTCAACAGAAAGAACTTCCATTCTAGAATCATCCAGACCTGGGTTTGAACCCTCATTTTGTTTGAATCCTGTACTTGACTCTGCATGACTTTTCACATTTTTAAAATTTCTCTGAGCTTTATTTAGCCTTTTTCTATGTGAAAAGAAGATAATATGTTCTCCACAATACTGACTAAATAAAATGACATAAAGTATGAAGCCCCTTGCCCTATTTGATGCAAAGTAAGGACTTGTAAAATTTGGGTAAAGATTTTCCTCCTTTTTCATGATGGAAGCATGTGTTCTGGCATGGAAGGAATGCTGCATTTTGAACTGGAAGTGCTGAGTTTGTTTTTTTCACTTTTTAATTTATTAGGCAATTCACTAAACTTTTCTGAATAGATTTTCACAAAAATAGATATGCTTTCTCCTATTAAAATAACATAAAAATGTATAGTTTAAACTGAAACATTTCAGTAAGTATAAGATATTACCATTATGAATTAACACACCTGAATAAAAAGTATGGACATACATAAGATCCAGGTTTCTATGAATTTGTTCTTCAGAGAGGTGGAAAATTACTTTTGTCTTATTCTACAATTATGATAATTTTCTTTGGCCGGTTTTTTTCAAGGTCATATTTATTGAAAGTGTCTCATTAAAAAATTACATGATCTCATTAAAATGCAAAAGTTAAGGATGCACACATTGGTTTTACTCCCGGACACTGGTTTTACTTTGAAGATCAAGCTGTCATTTGTCTTTTTCTATCTCAGCTCTTCATCTATCACACAACTATTTGCCCTACTTAGTTCTGGAAGTGGATATGGGGTGTCTACCCCATTCCAGACTAGCTCTCCTTTCTGCAGATAAAGGAACAAGTCACCTTTGGAAAAAGTAAGGCTTAGAATCTACTGCTTTTCAAATAACTAACGCACTTGGAAATCTTTAGAACCTTTTCTCAGTAAATAATGTTGTAGAGAACAAACTGAGGCAGGGGAAGTACCCCATACAGACTGATATAAATCCACATCAAAGTTCTGCCTTCAAATGAAGTGACATTCCTATTCAAATGTGAAGCTTTATATGCATAAAAATTAGGTGATCACCAGAGGAAAATAAAGTAATTTTCAAAATCTAATTTAATTCACTTAATAAGACCATAAACCAAAGAAAATGAAAGATGCCAAGGAAAAGAGAAGATATATGCCAACCAATAATAGGTTTCATTTCCTACTAAAAAAAAAAAGAGAGTACTCAGTAAGATTTGAACAGAGAATGAGACCAATTCATTTTGATCCTGTGGAAATACTTTGAAGCTTAGTTTTTAACCTACTCTACTTTACATTTCTGGATGTTATGAAAGGCAATGTATGCAGAAAGTCATACCAATGGGGATTTGAGTATTTCACTTTCCCAACTGTAGTGATGATTTGGATCTTACTTTTTCTGAAAGCATCTTTAAAGAATTCTTCAAGCTGTCTGGAGAATGCTGGCTTGCAGAATTAAGTAGTAGGTCTGCATGCGTTGCTATAAGAGGTTGTAGTTGATTGATGTTGCTGAGAACTTCTTTTGCTTTGGCTGTGTTTTCAGGTGAATAGTAAATAAACTGGTACCCAGTACTGCAACAACAAAGATAAAAATAAGTTACACAAACAGCATAACGAATGTGCAGACCTTAATACCAGATGGCAAATGATAAACACAACTCCAAGTATCACTCATTCCTACTGATCAGATAAGAACTGTCCTAAGAGATTTTTATTATTGCACTAACAGTTTTTATGTAAGGTGACAAAAACACTTTTTAAGACTAGGTAAAGTAATGTTGTCTTTGCTAAGACACAGGAAAGAGTAATACTAATACTTGACATGATCATGTCAAGTCAAATTAGTATTACTATTAATTTCCAATGAGCTTGAGGCCACATAAGCCAGCGGGAAAAATGAGCTGTTATATTCAAGCCAGCTTAAATCCTGGCTTGTCACTAACTAGCTGGGTGACCTTGGGTAGCCTTCTTCCTCATCAGGAAAGTGAGAATAATTATCCAATTTTATGAAGTGGGTAACATTAGAAGCCATTCATATTAAGTGCCTAAAATTGTGATTGACATAGAGATAGCATTTAATACCTACTACCTAAATTTTCCCCCATGTTACTAGGTGAGGGGTGGGGAAGGACTAAATTATAATAGCTGAGAAATGAGGACAAAATTAATGTCAAGTGGGCACATGGCAAATTTATTTAATAGAAAAAGGACATTAGTAATGGAATGTTATTCCATGGTGTTATTTTACCATGAGACTTTTTGTTCTTGTGGTTTTCCATTTAATATACAAAGAAATCTAAAACTGATTATTAGCTAAAGAGTTATTGACTTTTATTTTTTTTAAGAGACAGAATCTCACTCTGTCACCCAGGCTGTAGTACAGTGGCACAATCAGAGCCCACTGCAACATCTAACCCTTGGTCTCTGGTGACCTTCCGATCTCAGCATCCTGAGTAGTTGGGACTACAGGTAAGAGCCACCACACCTGGCTAAATTTTTAGAACACATTGTTCATAGACTAGGTCTCGTGATGTTTACACAGACTGGTCTTGAATGCCTAGCCTTGAGCAATCCTCCCCTCTTGGCCACCCAAAGTGCTGAGATTACAGGCTTGAGAATTATTGACTTTTATAATCATCATCTAGCATGTTATGGGAGTAGGGATTCTTTAGAGAGAAGGAATCTTTGATCAGTTTCATTAGGAAAAGGCACTCCAGAAAGAAAGCAGCAAAACAGCAAAACAGTTGCCAGAATGAAAGAAGAGGGAAGGAATGGCTCGTGTATTCACAAGATTGGTGTAAACTTGCTTACATCTTATTATACGAAAATGTCAAGATATTTTTTCATAAAACTTTGCAGTCTATGTTGAGTATTTACTGAATATGTCTGCCACATTTTTACCAGCTCAGTTATTTAAATTCCATAATTTTATTTCTCATCTTGAAACCACAGACACCATTAAGAAAAACTGACATCTAGGAAGCATTCTCTGTTCTATTCCTTTGACACTAGTGATTTTTCAGGGGAAAATTATCAGAATCTTTAAGGAAACAATATTTTGTGGCAAACATATAATGAATATCCCTTTTATTTATTTATTCATTTAGTAAAATATTTAAAAGAAATGACCTTTGAGATTTGGGGTATTCAGAAGATTGAACAAGAAGTCAGTGAAGGTATCAGGTTTATGAAGGCTAAGAAACACATTCTAGTTTATGATACTTAAAAAGATTTGCTCTTGATTTTTTATCTGTAGACTTTTAAATGTCAGAAGTGAGGGGTTCAAATAAAACATACCTTAATTACCTACTATGTCTATCTTAATGTAAGTTACAGTAAATAAAAAATAGGGCGTGGTGGCTCATGCCTATGGTCCCAGCACTTTGGGAGGCCGAGGCCAGCATATCATGAGGTCAGGAGGTCAAGCCTAGCCTGGCCAATTTTGTAAAACCCCATCTCTACTTTAAAAATATAAAATTGGCCAGGAGTGGTGGCACGCGCCTGTAGTCCCAGCTACTCAGGAGGCTGAGGCAATAAAATTGCTTGAACCTGGGAGGCGGAGGTTGCAGTGAGCCAAGATCAGGCCACTCCCTCTAGCCTGAGTGACAGAGTGAGAAGCTGTCTAAAAAATAAAAAAATAAATAAATAAATAAATAAATAAAAACTAACTAACAATTGCAAGGAGGGGAAAGGAATCAGCAGTCCTTGTCAATTCTTGATGTCTCTTTCTGGTTTTTTGAGTGGTTGAGACAGATCTCACGCAGGAGTATACTAAGGACTTCAGAAAAGAAATCATGAACTCAGTCGGGATATAAAGTTTAATCCATAACAGACTGTGGTAAATCAAACGGCTTCATGTTGTTTTTGCAAAGAAAATGATTCTCTAAAGATACAGGCGTGTCACCAGAATTTGAACGTTTGATACCCAGCAGCTCCGAGGGCAGAAAGCAGGACCTACTTACAGATCCAATGCAGAGCTATGTGGTAGCTGCTATGTGATCCCTCTTTGCAGGTCTGCTATTCTGGCAACAGAGGTCACTTCCTGGTGTCCTCTTATGGCTATTTACAGGCTTCCCAGGGCTTAGCCTTTGGAAAGCTAGAATGCTTATGGCGTTGTGGGGTCTTCCATCTCTCTCTTCATTTGACTTCAGAACGTGTCTTCTCTGCCCTCTCATACACTCACTTCTATCCATTTCATCTCTATTGCCTTCCTCCTTTACTCATATTCTTCTTTCCAAGAAGTTTACTGTTACTGTTTTACTGAATATTACTATTTTCATTGTCAAATTCCCTGACAGTCTCCACTCCATTCTATTCTAATGCACACATTTCTAAGATTTTTTCTGCACATGTTCTTTATTTATACCCTAGTTGAATGGTGCTCAAATTTTAGCAGTCATAGTAAGTTTCCCTTCGGGCTGAGGACCGGACCTCAATGTTTATGGAAAAAAATGCAGACTCCTTGGCAACATCAAGAGATTCTGCTTTAGTAGGCTGTAGCCTTTGTGATAAGCACCACCGGAGATCCCGACGCAGGGGGACAGCGGAGCATCTTTAGAGATTCCCAGTCATTGTTTTGACTGAGATCCCCTCTAAACTGTTGTTCATGATACACAAGGACTCTGAAAACAGTTCCTTCTTAAGGTATTCTAATGTTCTTAGTACCTTTTACAAGGCTACTTTACATCCCATCTTATTCACACACATTGCTTTGGTTCCTTTCTCATACCAGTGTTTACTCTCGTAACGTTTTTCATCAGCATTTCATCTTTTTCCTCCCAATATATTCACTTTTTTCTCCCCAATGCATTCTTCAATCACCATCATTGGACATATTTCTAACTGCTGCCTCTTACTCCTAATTCAATCTCTGTGGAGCAGAGTTATGTAGCAGGCATCAGTTGTTTCGTTGAAGTCTTTTTAACGATGAGCACCTCACCTAGTGAGGCTGAAAGATTCATTTTCCATAATAAAAGCCAACGCTGGTGTCAGGATGAAAACATGAAATAGTATGGTATGAAAAAAATATCATCACTCACAAAATAATTTTAAGTATACATAAATTGTATCTACCTATTCAGTGACTTACTCTTTAAACATGTCATATATTTAACAGTTATAGCTTCTTAAATGGAAAGTAATAAGTATAATTTAATTATCTAGATAAAAAGAATATAGCTAAACTCATTTTATAGTAGTATAAAATTTAAACTGGATCCAAACACTTGAGTCAACTATTAATCAGACAACTCTGGAAGAAAGACAAAATATTTGCTTGGACAAAATATTTTATAGAATATAAATAGTACTGCAAATCACAGATAATGAAAATTTAAATTAGTTTTAAAATATTTTTTTCTATTGAATTAAATTGTACTATATATGTAATTTAATTAAATAAGGTAATTGAATATATTTGGTATTATTTTCATTAGAATGCACATCCACACCCCCATCCTCACATGTTTCTGTGTGTGTATGTTGTTACTAGCCATGTCGTATTTTGGAGCTGTTAAAAAATATAAAGCACATAATGAAGTAACACTCAAGTCATAAGCTCTAATTGCTAACCAAAATACAATTAAAACAAGGACTTATATATTTCTGCACTTATATTTGCCCCAGTCCCTTTTTGCTGGTCCTCTTTATTTTCCTAACCTCTTTTTGGCTTGCTTCAAGACTCAGTTCTTGGAACCCTTTTATCTATATGTCTCTCCTAAGTGAATACCCATGTTGCACTAATGATTTCCAAATCTCCATCTCTAGCCTAGACTTTCCCCCTGAACTCCAATGAAAACAAAAACTCTCCTGTTAACAGCTGTAGCTTCACACGTCCCAAACTGAGCCTGAAATCTGCTTCTCACTTTCAACACCCAGCTCCTTTTCCCTCTTCCCTATCCTAGATTATGGCAAGTCCATTTGATGTTGTCTATGACTCTTTATCACTTATCTTTTGTCCAACTTCTCAGAAAGTCTTGCCTTTTTCTTCAAAATATACCCAGAATCCCACCACTTATTTCTACACTCGCTGCAACTACTCCATCATTTCTACCACTAGGATTATTGTAAGAGCTCACAAACTGCTATCCACACCTCTGTTTTTAAACTTATCTATTGCAAGATGAATAATACTCTAAGATATTGAAGTCCTTGACTCGTTTTTCGGGTTTGACAAAGGCAGGAGGCAGACAAGAAGAGAAAAATAATTAACTTTCCTTAACTCTTTGACTACAAATTCACATTGTGGGGCTTGCTCTATTACTTCTCCATCCTTTCCCATCCCACTCATGTGTACCTCCACTCCTTAACCTGTTTGCTCAACCAAGTTACTATTTTTTATAGTAGAGTCATTAAAAATATAGATGAGATATGATTAATAGACAAGGAGGAAAACAAGAAGGAAAAGACAGGGAAGATGGGGCATGAACAGAAGGGGATTAGAATTGATGAATTTAGGGAAATATGATTTAGAGTGGGGTGTCTCTTCTGTGACAGAATTCAACCTCCAGAAAAAAAAATCTAGAACTATTTCCTCTTATTTACACTACTTGTAAAAAAACAACAATGTGGTC